ATTTTCTTCTTTCTCTTAAAATAGAAAAATCTCTGCAGGCGCAGATAGACACACTGCAGTTCTATTGGTTCTATTGGTGCAGATAGGCATAAACAAAGTTTACTACGGGTTTATTCGCACTTGGACAAATAGTAGGTGTCTATCCACACAATTAGAACTGCAGAGGTTCTATCTACGAGTGGGCGATGGTACAAGGGGTCTATAAGCAACTAACCCAAAAAAAGACTATCCTGTTTTCTGTCTCACTTCTTTTTCCTTTTCGTTTTTTTCCTTCTTCTTTCTTATTTAACTGGCAGCCTTAATTTGTTTGAAAATACCTAGATGCTAAATTGCTGCAAAAAGTGTTTATGTCATATATATATATATATATATATAATATATTATATATATATATATATATATATATAATTATAATTATATATAGATTAGATAGATAATATATAGGGAATTATGTGGTATGCTTGGTACCAGCCAAACCAGATTTTGTGCCTTGGTAGTGAGGTGGCATATTATCCTCCACTCATTCAATAGGGGGACACGAATTCACATGGGTTGAATGTGATCCCAATTAAATGAGTGGAATGGGAATGAAGACACCTCACTACCAAGCATTAAAAATTGTTGCTCGGTTTCCAAGCATTACCCATTTTTCATTATATATATTATATTATATTAATATATATATATATATATATATATATATATATATTATATATATATATCTTATATATATTAGTATAATAGGCTCTACACATAGTGAATTAAACCGTATGCGGGTATGAAGGTGTTTGACTATAGGCAATTCAGCTCAAAATAGTGCAGATACCATATATAACGCACCACTTTATTTACATCTTAATATGCACCTCAGAAACCTCTTAAACATATCTCCCTTTGTAGATTGGAAAATATTAATAGACTCCTTAAAGTGTTTTTAAAATCAATAAAAACAAACCCTCGATGCTGAACTTTAGTTGCCAATGACCCGGAATACAGACCAACCACTGGCTAAGCATAAAATGTATGATTGGTATCAACTAAGTTTTGTTCACGCCTTCACGGAACACCCAAGACCTGAGGGGGGAGATCAAAAATTGTGTTTCCTAGTCTGATCCCTAACTGATGTCTAAGTGGGGTTGCCAATTAATCCAGGAAGCACGAGTTTGGGCTTGGTAAATGCGAGTTTGGACTAGTTCTGATCCCTAACTGAGCTGAGCTTGAATGAAGATCTAAACTCACTAAAGAACACGAATAAGCTTGAACACAAATGAATAGTACACATCATATAGAATTTCTGAAGCAACAAAGTCTTTTATTTCACAGGAAGTTACAGTGGAAAAAGGTAACCAGTTAAAAATGAGGCGTGTAAGGAATACATCCTGAAAGACAATCCAATCGATAAATCTCCAAATGCACTGTCGAGTAAATGTAACTTTCTGTGGGATTTCATATCTCATTCGTTAAAATAAGACATAGGAGAACTATTTTTTTAGCGCTAAAAAGAGAAGGTGAATAGGAGGAGAGGAGAGGAGAGAGGGGGGAAACAGCAAACCTGAACTCCTGATGTGATGTTAAGAAGCATGCAAATTATAAGCACCCTCCAAGGATCGGTGTAGTGACATTCTTGAAGTAAACCATAGGGAGAAACGGGAGGCTCCCAGGTATTCCCAGTCTCGACTCTCTTGTAGCAGTCCATATATTTCTCCTTAGCAGTCATAGCGCTTCGTGGCCTACTCCTCTTCTTCCTCTCCTTATCTTCCTCTTCTTCTTTCTCATTCATCTCTGTCTTCTTCCTCTTTCGGTTATTAGTAGCAACAACCTCCTCTTCTTCTTTTAGCTTTGCCTCCTTACTCTTCCTCTTCTTCTTCCCCTTCTCCTCATCCGGACCATCTACGATCACGCCAACACCCGAGGGAGGAGATTTCCTCTTAATCGTCTTCGGGGTGCAAGGATTAGGGTTCGGAGAAGGCTTGCTGCTGGTGCCCTCTGCTCGCGTGGATGTAATTCCTCCTCCTCCTCCCGTGTATCTAAAGGAGTCTAACATAGCGAGCAAGTCCTGGTTCGTGGTAGGTTTAGGGGCGGGGTTTGGAGAGGACTGGCTGTTGTTGTTGGTGGTGGTGGCGGCGGCGGCTTCCTCCTTCGCCCCTCCCGTACATCTTATTCCCCCTCCTCCCTTCTCCTTGACGGATTCGCATTTGGCGATGCAACTTTTTCTCGTCGTCGTCGTCGTCGTCGTCATCACCTCTACGGTGCGGGTGGCGAGGCTTCCGTCTTATTTCCGCGCCCGAGTGGCGGCGCCGCCGGAGTAAGGAAAGGAGGAGGAGGACGTTGCTAGGGCTGACGAAAGAGAGAAGGCTTGTTGTCGTTGTTGTTTGTTTGTTTAGTATTGGTTTCACCTGTTCCTTTGACTCCCAAATAGAATACTTACTCCGTCCTCTCCTCTCTGCTACGCTGAAGGAGCCTAGCATAGCGTGTAGTCCGTGGATGGACTTCTTCCCCCCGGCTGACTCAGCGCCTAGGACCAGCGTCGGCGGCGGATGTGCAGCTCAGGGTCAGGTTGGAGAAGACCGGTCGGTGTTGCTCCCAACCCATATCTCCAGCATGGATCCTCCTCCTCCTCCTCCGGTTTTGCAATATGAGAGAAGCGGCTACTTCGTTGGCGGAAGAATTTTCCTGTCGTTTTCGCCTCGCCGGAGCTGAAAGACGGTCGGTGCTAGGCCCGCGCTTAGGGCTGGGGTTAGAGAAGGACGGCTGTTGGCGTTTCCTCCTTTTGCCCACCAAAACATCTTATTCGCGCTCGAACTCGTCGATGGATTTGCACTCCAAGAAGCTTTTTCTCGTCGTCATCTCTCTCTCGCTCCGCCCGATCGCCACCCCCTCCCGCTCTTTCACTGCGGGACCCTCAACATCGCCAAACCCAGCGGATTTTTCCCTTTTTATAAAAAAATAAATTTCCACAATCCCCGCCCAAAGTGAGGCTTTCCCACCGTTTTTTTTTTTTTTTTTTTTTTATAAATTTCACGAGGGGTGTTTGTTTCAAATCCCAAAATTTCAAGATATGGATTCCAACATAGAATTTGAAATCCATAAATTTTTGGGTGGGTTTTGGGATCTCTAAAATGTTGTTTGTTTTAACAAAATTTTAGGATATGAAATACCAAAACTTAGAATGTTTTGTTTGTTTCAAACTTAAATTATAGCATTACAAATTTTAGAATTTAAAATCCCAAAATGTAGCAAACAAAATTTAGGATCACCAAAATAATGATCGGTGAATTTAAGAATTTTTGGTGAGCTTACCCCCAATAAAAAAAACAACTCTTGTATTTACTCTTCAAGCAAGCCCACAATAAAAGATGAAACTGAAACTGAAACTAAAACTGAAACTGAAGCTTTCCCAAAGCATGCTCTCCTATACATTGTTAGCTCAGTCAAGGTCACCAGCACAACCACGTCCAGCAAGCATACAAGGCATACAAACCCAGCAACAAAACCCAGCAATCCAGCAACAAAACCCAGCAACCCAGCAACCCATACCACCAGCGGCAAAAACACAGACCTCCAGCAACAAAATCACCAGCTACCAAGTTTAAAGCACAAGGATAGGGCTGTTTCAATACTCAGGATAATTCTTAGAAAACTAATTAAACGATATAGTCAAGCACAACAAATAGATTTAATGATGTAGGAGAATAAAGCCACCAGCAACCACAAGATTATGAATACCAAGGCTCATAGAATAATGATGTAGAGGAATAAAGAGGTAATGTAGCCAAATCAAAAGCAACAAACCCAGCAACCCAGACCAGCAGCATGAAATCTCATAATAAGACCAAGTTAGGGGCTCAGATATAGGTATTAAAATTGAATACATGGATTGCCTCATCTAACAATGGTGTTGCAATGTAGGTTGCAATCAAATGAATGGATTGTCTCACCGACGTTGTGGATGCAATGTAGGTTGTAATCACATGAATGGATTGCATTACCTAACATTGTAAATGCGATGTCGGTTGCATTCTCATCCTAGATTGCCCTACCTAAACATAGCAATACATTGTAGATTGCATTCTCTTAACTAAGACCATCATCATTGCCCACTTAGAAGAATACAAAGTAGCCATTGAAAACAACCATTGAAACAAATACTCTTGTATTTACTCTTCAAGCAAGCCCACAACAAAAGATGAAAACTGAAACTGAAACATAAGTTGACCCAAAGCGGAGTCCCATATACATGTTAGCTCAGTCAACGTCACCAGCACAACCACGTCCAGCAAGCATACAAGGCATTCTAGAATAATGATGTAGAAGAATAAGGAGGTAATGTAGCCAAATCAAAAGCAACAAACCCAACAACCCAGACCACCAGCGGCAAAAAAACAGACCTCCAGCAACAAAATCACCAGCTACCAAGTTTAAAGCACAATCCATCAAGAACAAGTCAACAAGCAAACTGTATATGAGAGTCAAAAAATTTGTTTCAGACCCCTTTAACAAAAAAAAGTAAACAAAACCTGTATATGAAACTGTGTACAAAAGTTGAAACTGAAACATAAGATAAAAATGAAACTGAAACTAAAACGTAAGCCCTCCAGTAACAAAACCCAGCAACCCAGCAACCCAGCAACCCATACCAAATCAAAAGCTTATGACTCTCATATACAACAACAAAACCCAGCAACTGAAACTGAATACATAAACATAAGCCCTCCAGCAACAAAACCCAGCAACCCAGCAACTCAGGCCAAATCAAAACCCAGCAACCCAGCAACTCATAATAGGATCAAGTTAGGGGCTCAGATATAGGTATTAAAATTGAATACATGGATTGCCTCATCTATCAATGGTGTTACAATGTAGGTTGTAATCAACTGAATGGATTGCCTCACCGAACATTGTAAATGCAATGTAGGTTGCAATCACATGAATGGATTGCCTTACCTAACATTGTAAATGCGATGTCGGTTGCATTCTCATCCTAGATTGTCGTACCTAAACATAACAAAACATTGTAGATTGCATTCTCTTAACTAAGACCATCATCATTGTCCACTTAGAAGAATACAAAGTAGCCATACCAATACATATCGTGCAATGTAGGTTGCTATCAAGTATCATATCCAATGATATTTATATAAACCTGCAAAAGAACCAAAGTTATCATGAGATTGCAATTAGAGTAGTGAAATTAGTTACATCATTAAGTTGTTAAACTTACAAAATTAATAACATAAAGCTACACCACTAAGTGTTCAACTTACAAAATTAGTTACATCATTAAGTTGTTAAATATACAATGAGTTTAACATAAAGCTATATGTCAAGTCTTCAAAAGTAGTGCAATATCAAGTTTTCATAAGTCAAACCCTTGCTCGTTGATAATCTTCTCTATAAATAGCTTTTGAGAATTTTTGGTTTTGATGATCAACCTCCTAGCTTCTGATTCATGGTCATACAAGTAATCAAGCACTTTATCCAATACCCCCTCAGAAAATTCACTCTCATGCGTCATTAGAGCATTCGCCATGGTCTCACTCCAATGCACAACACGTTGATGTACATGTTGATTTTGAATTGAGAACGACATCGTGTCAATTAAACCACGCATGAGAGTCTCATCCTCTTTAGCCTTGCTACTCTTCTTCCTAGGAGTTGATGTATCAATTGATGCAGAAACTACCCCACTAGAAGCCTTCAATTTCTTACCTTGAGAGTTGTGGTTTTGCCCACTTGATTTTTCGGACTCAAGACGTGGGCTTGGAGACAAATCAACCTCATTATCACTAAGTATTACATGATCCTTATCTCTATCTGTATCATGTTGTCTAGAACCAAGCTTTTCAGTCATATCTTTGGTGAAATCACCCTTTGCTTGGTCATCTCCCACGATATAACACAAGTTCTCATAGTGAATGAGAGGAGTGTTCAAATACTCCTTCAATCTAGAGCTATTGCATTTTTTTTCCTGGACAGTGAAATATTGCAAAATCAGTTACTAAGAAGTAAATATTCAAAGTTTGCTTATTTATCAAAAATATTACATGTGTCCACATATCAAAACAATCTGGATCCATGGTGACAATCTTAGCTTGTGGATCATAACCAGCCCCACTCATGTCCATGACAGTGTGCATATCAAAATATTTACCCTTCAAGGACTTGACATGGTTCATGACATTCTCCTTTGTGAACTCAGTGCCACACTTCTTGTTGACCTCCTCTGCAACTCTTCGATATGCAAGCACCTTAAAGTTTTTATCAACTTTAAGACCATCCTTTGCCATCTGAGCAAGGAAGGGGATTAACACATCATCATTCTCTGCAGTCCATTTAGCATTATGCACCCCCCTTGTATTCTCTTTTTTGTTCAGCACCTTTGGTGGTATTTTTCTTTTAGTAACTGCCCGCTTCTTGCTTTTGCTTTTGCTTGGTGAGGCAGCATCATCCTCAAGGTCAATTGCCATTAGCCTCTTCAAAGAATGAGTCTCACTTGAATGGGTACCAGGGGAAGTGTGGATAAGTGGGTGGCCACTATTAAGCATATTCATAAACGTCATGGGTTGTTGAGTCATAAATGAGTAGTTCATATCATAAGAATTGTAAGATGGATAAGTCGGTGGAGCAATGTATTGGGGCGAAGGGAATGGTTGTGTAGTGGTTGGTGGGGAAGCCGGGAAGTATGGATAAGTGGGTGTTGTTGGTGTTCTAGGTGAAGTATTCTTGAACTTATCACTTTCATTAGAATCTGCCATGACTGATTGCTACAAATTAAAACAGACAAATAACAAATTTCAAACCTCATGTTAGTACAATAATAGAGTACGAACATCAAAAAGTAGCATTCATATATAAAGCTCAATCTTCATAGCTAAATCCAGAAAACTCAAATAAACCACAAGCTTGAAAAACAAGTATGCAAACAAGCCTCGCAGCTCATATAATCAAGGTTGCAAACAATCACAAAATTAAACAGAACCGCAAGTTGGATATACACAAAAATAGCATGCGAAAATGATAATATACTCATTTATCCATGAGTATTGTTGTAACATGAACGAATACATAGAGGTAGTAGACAATATATCAACGAGTACAATACCACATGGAGAATATAACTTAGATTACATCCCGATCTCGGTTGTGTCTCCACCGCGCCATTTAGCACAATAATCTTCCCACATTTCAATTGCAATTTGATCCCTCTTTGCTCTCCATTCATTTCTTGAATCTCTTTCCTCTCTTTGTGTCATA